GATCACACAAATATCGAGGCAGCAAACCGTTAACTACTTTAAAAATGAACACCATAGTCAAATATACAATTCTTTGCTTCACCGACAACCATTGTAAGGCGTCTAGCATCAAAGTTGAGGAAGTGAATCTATTACATCTCAAAATCAAACGCATTATTTTATTCTGCAAGCGCTGTAATCTCGATATTTGTGTTGCATTGGACAGACATAAAATGGAAAGGCAAAAGTCTAGATGAGGAGAGATGATTGATTTGTATAGCTGTATTTTACTGGCAATAGTTAAATCGTTTTTCAATCGACATAGAATTCCATACTTCTTGGCAATTTTCTTGATGACATTGTCAATGTGAGAGTTGAACTTAAGTTTGTCATCAATAATCACGCCAAGATATTTAATCTCCTGAACGCGATCAATAGTCTCATCATCAATTACAACAGAGACGTTCTCATTTAATCGATTCCGCGAAATTACCATAAATTTAGTTTTACTTGTATTCAATTTTAACTGCTTACACTTCAACCATCTACTTAGATACTGCAAATCTTCATTCAAGTGTGAGACGGCAACTTCTAAATCCTTAGCTGCAATGAATAACACAGTATCATCTGCAAAAAGATTAATGTCGCAAAATCGTAAAACACGTCGCAAGTCATTAATATACATAATAAATAAAAGGGGCCCTAATACACTTCCCTGGGGCACTCCAAGGTTGTTCCCCACGGGACTGGAAACAGAATCATTAAAAACAGTCCGTTGAGTTCTGTCAGACAAATAGCTTTCAAACCATTTATATGCAGTACTCGTAATTCCAAAGCGCTAACAGGTTGTATTGGCTATCAAAAGCAACAGCAAACGCACCGAGAAACGTTAAATCCAGGGCTGTTACAAGATTTTATAAATTTGATCCGCGAAATCCGCGATTTCTTAAAAGAAATCCGCGACTTCAAATACTAAATCCGCGACAAAAAAAAAACTGTTTTCATTGCCTAAAAAATAGCATGTGTATACTACTACATTGCATTTAAAGCTAATTGCTTATAGCATATTAGATTTTTGTCTTAGTGTTCTTTGAAGTACTTTCACATTTTAATTGAGAGCTTTCTATGCCTGTACCATCCTATGCCCAAGGAAGTATAGAAATTTTCCAACCCGAAAAATTAATAGGCCGGACGGGCCTGCGCCTTTACCGACTGAGCTAAAGGAGTATCGTTTGTAACCTTTGAATTTAAAAAAAGAATAACATTGTATCATCTTTAGTTATTTATGTATAGTATAAATTCTGAGAAATAGTGAACATAATAACACCCTTACATTATGAGATTCTATTTAATAATACCGGCCTAGATTTGATGAAACATTATTAAAAAAAAATAATGCATTTTCATTTGAAATGCAAATTTTCTTGAAAATTAACCAGAGACGTATTTTGCTGTCCTAAATGTTGTAGTAAATTTGGCTCTAGTTTTCTCAATTTTTACCAATTCAAACCAAACACCCTGCACATAATCGAGAAATTATCAAAGTTCCATAAGTCACGCTTGTTGGTCACGTCGCGGTTGTGTATCTACACGGATATTCCTTGGGTTCTGCCCAATGGTGAGACATTTTCATGATATTTTTTTTTATTTCTAATATGAACCTAGCACTTTTCGTTGTCAAATCATAACCGAATCGTATAAATGTGACTTTGTGGATCATGCACGACTCATTACTGTGTATACCGGAAATTATAGGTTTTCCAAATCGTCCAGGACATCAGTTGATTTGTTGTACTAGATCAACCAAGACTGCAATCATGTCTGTAGTATCGAAATATGCCCAATCAGATTCAAAGTGTTTATGTGGATCATATATGATCTATTTCTGAGTAAACCAGATGTTCAAGGTTCTTCAAATCGTCCTGGAGTTCAGATAATTTGATCTACTATATCAACTGAGATTGGGACAATGTGTTTAGTATCGAAATACTTCCAGACAGATGCACAGTGTCTATGTGGATCATGCATGAACTATTGTCATGTATACCAGATGTTTTAAGTACTCCAAATCGTTCTGGGCCTCATAGCCTAGTCAGTAAAGGCACGGTATTACTAAGCCGGAGGCGGCGGGTTTGATTCCCGGTCCGGTCGAGGGAATCTTTCGGGCTGGAAATTTTCTCGACTTGCCTGGGAATAGAGTATAATTGTGTTTGCCACACAATATACAAATTTATGCATTGGTATTGGCATCGAAAACTCTCAATTAATAACTTTGAGAGTGCATTTAGAACTCTAAGTTGAGAGCATGCAATAAGCTAATATGCACTAATCAATAAGCTTGAAATGCGAATAAGAAGAAGAAGAAATCGTTCTGGAGTTCAGATGATTTATTCAACTAGATCAACTATGACTGGGATGAAGTCTGTTCTGTAGCATCAAAATATGTCCAAACAGATTCATAGTGTCTATATGGATAATGTTTAATTATTTCCACGTATACCAGATGATCTAGGTTCTCCAAATCGTCCTGCAGTTCAGATGATTTGTTTTACTAGATCAACAAAGACTAGGATAATATCTGTAGTATCGAATATCGATTTGGAAATCCTATAACATTTGGCATGATCCACATAGACACTGCAAATTTGTTTGGGCATATTTCGATACTACAGATATTGAATTAGTCTTGGGTGATCTAGTAGCAAAATAATCTGATCTCCAAAATGATTTCAGAACCTATAACATCTTGTATAAGTAGCAATAGGTCGGGTGCAATCCACATAGACACTTTGAATCTGTTTGGACATATTTCGATACTACAGACATTATTGCAGTCTTGGTTGATATAGTAGAACAAATCAACTTAACTCCAGGACGATTTGGAGGACCTAGAATATCCGGTATACATGGCAATTACTCGCTTATATACGATTCGTTTATGATTTGACAACGAAAAATGCTATGTTCTTATTGGAAAAAAAGGAAAATGTCTCACATTGGACAGACTTCAGGGAATTTCCGTGTAAATCCGGTGTGACTTATGGAATTGAGATCATTTTTCGATTATTTACAGGGTATTTGGTTTGAACCGGTCAAAAATGGAGAGCCAAATGAACAACAAAATTGATGACAGCAAAATAATCCGGGACGGTTACAATGAATTCCACATTTTTTGTGACAGCACATCAATCCCTTCGCGATTTTCGCAACATCATTTAATGTTTCCGCGATTTTCGCGACTGAAAGTTCATATCCGCGAAAATCGCGAAATCCGCGCCTGTTGTAACAGCCCTGTAAATCTAGTGAGTTATTAACAAAAAAGAAAATCGACGAAGAGAATCGATCATCGCGTATAGGCCCTTATGCATGCTCACTGTCGATATATGAATTGAATAGTGGCCGAATAATTTAAAACTCATTTTCTGGTTTGTTTACATTTTGAACATAGACCCTTTTTCAAATATTACGCGAGAACTGTCCATAATTAGGCACCTTTCTACTTATGGTCCTTTCACGGCATTTGTCAATAAAGACCAATTCGCGGCCCACAAGTGGATCAGGATCAACATGTTGAGACAATTAATTTGTTCGAATATAAACCATTGACAAACCGACATGAATGACCAAAGCAAAAACAATAAAATTTCTGACCAAAGCACACTACTGACATCTGGCTTCGTGTTCGCGGGAAATATTTAGCTTAGCCATGAACCCGCATGCAAAAGTTATGAATTGGTTCGTGTCCGATCTATTCTGGACAAATTATTTTTATCTAGATCAAAAAAATCATTAATTCCAGAAATAAGTGTCATGTCGGTTTGTCGGTGCCATCAATACTATCTAAAATAATGTTTTTATTTGTCCTTGTTGTTTAAGGGTCCATCCACCAGGATTACTTTTGACAATGGAAAAATACACTGACATATGAAAAATTGCATTCAAATCGGGGAAAATAATGTTCAACGATTGACTCGTTTCGCTATTTGGCGTACTAATCGTCTAAGTGTCCAAAATACGTTTTCCTATTTTTACGAGTTCGATATAAAGTAGTAGGGTTAACTACCCCATTTCCGGCCTATTAAGCACAACCCGCACTTAATCTTTCTTAATCTAGCGTAGTTTAGCACCAAACGGAATGTTATTATTACTGATGGCTTCCAAATTTATTTACCTTTCCGTACGTACCGTAATATTTGAAAAAGAGAAACCAATCGTTGAGATATTGCCAAAAGTCTAACACTGCTTCTTGACGCCAAACTCGGCCTATGGATTCTAAACTCGGCCTAACGCATTGAAACGCCAATGAATTCACTTCGCCCTATCGGATGAAGATAAAAATTGATTCGGTCGGAGCGCTTCTTTTGTTTTTGAGGATAATGGGTGCAAACATTCATATCACGCGTTCTTATTGACTTTATTCGGTAGCTTATTAACTAAAGTATCTTACCAAACGCATAATTGACTTGTTAACTCTGAAATCATGGATGTATTTGAAGTTTTCTGCTCGATAGACCCAAAATGGGCGATTAGGACGAAGTAGTTCTCTACCCTAATTAAATACATTTAAACATTCTGAAGGTTCGGCCCAAAGATTGGGAAACTACCATCGGAGCATTGGATTTAAATAATTTCCTGCACGGCGAATGAGAACGACCCAAATTTGAGTTTAGTTCACTCATAACCGCCAAAAGTGCAGGAACTTAGCGATGAGTTAAATTTGTATCATGTTTTCCCAGGATTTTCCAGGGAAAAATTCCCGAATTTGAGAAAAGTAAAGATTTTATTCACTGTCTATTGGTACTACTTCGAGACTGAATCAAATTTTCGTCAATTTCCTTACTTTCCGGCAGATTTTTTAGGTTTTCCACAGGAAACCATGAGACAAATTTACTCATCGCTGAGTTCCTGCACTTTTGGCGATTATGAGTGAATTAAATTCAAATTTGGGTCGTTCTCATTCGCCGTGTGAGCATAACATGGGAGCTTTTCAAGACGCATTAGAAAGACCAGCTAAAACTTACCCCCATCCAACGGTTTGACGACATCATCGGCCTCCGGTTCTTTCGGTGCGGTGGTCCGTTTTTTCGATGCTTTGGTGCTCTTGGCTGAAGGTTTATTGTTGGCTGCCGTAGAATACAGAATAAACTGACGTAAATGAGAGCAAACTAGCTAATGTAACACACTGATCAGTCTATATAGGGTTATTTTCTACATGAAGGGAGAAGCTAGAGATGGAAAGTGGGGTCATGCAAAAGCTACCAACCCAGGCAATGGAAAGAAGCAGATTAGTGAAATTCCAAACATTAATTTAGTGTGAATCCATCACCGTTTCACATTCTACTACACAGGAGAACGAATGGAAAATGCACGAAACACGTCAGAGTGCTGCACGTTGCACTAATTAGGTTTACAAAATACGATTTACAGAACAAAAGGAAGACACACATGAAAGTTAGAAAAGTGGGCGATAAAATTTCACTAACCTGCGTATCTTTCATGAAGATTTACGATTTTTTTTGTTTTACGGTGAAATCTCCCAACGTGTTCCGCGGTTAACGTAGTAACAATAGGTAGTATCATACGAATTAGTCAATGAGGGTAAATGAAAGCAGCTCGAATTCTCTTATTTTTTACAGAATTAAGTCTACACCTTTATTGAATAAAACTGTTTTAGTTAAGTTTAACCTATTAGTGTTAAAAATTCCAAATGCGCGTGGTTCTTTTCCAGAATGTGTTAGGATGATGTATGATCTTTGCTTCCAAACGGGTAAGTTTTTTTTTTGTTTCAGATGATCTTTTCTCTATTGAATTGACCGGAAGAAAATTGTCATTTGATCCCGATTGGATTTACTCTGGCTAAGTTCAATCTAATGATATTCTGTTGTTTGGCACTTGGAAGCGGTACAAAGTTGCTTAAAAATACTGATTAAATAAAAACGGTCGGCACGGGTGCAAGAAAACCGACAGCTCTTCGCGGTAGAACTTTCAAAATAACAAACAAAATCTGTAACTAGAGGTCGTGAAAACAGAGGACCGGGGTCGGTTCCGAACATGTACGGGTAGAGAATTTCTCGACACATGAGAGAGAGAGGAAAAGTGAAATGTTTAGATTTCAATTACCCTCTTGCTCGGCAGCAGCCTTTCTACCGCGTCCTCGTTTGGCTGGTGCCTTGGGAGATTTAGTTGGCGATACAGATTGTTCTACAATTAGCAAATGTTGAGAATAAAATCTACGCAGTCCTGGGGGAAAATAATAGAGGTTACTTACTTTCTTCTGCGACCTTCTTGCGTCCTCGTCCTGCTTTGGGTGCCACCGGTTCTTCGTCGATTTCTTCACTCACAGCTTCCGGTTCTACTTCTGCTGGTTTTTTTGGACTTGGCTTCTTCGGCGACGGCTCTTTGGTTGCCTGTTTCGACTTTTTGGCTGGTGATAGTGCAGGTTCTTCTTCTGGTTCTGCAAATACATTTTGTTAGTTAATTCAAAACAATACCCCTTCCATAACCTCACTTGTACCTTTGGTTTCTGCCTTCGCTTTGCCTCGTCCTCGTTTCGATGGAACTGCTACCGGTTCTGGTTCAGCTACTTCCTCTTTCGCCGCTTTGCCCTTTCCTTTTCCTTTCGAAACCTTGGCGGCAGAATTTCCATTCTCTACCGGAGCTGCTTCTTCGGCGGCCTTTCTACCTCGTCCCTTCTTTACTGGTGGCTCATCCTCCGGTGCTTCCTCTTTGGCAACCACTGGTTTACGACCCTTCCGACCTTTAGTTGGTTCTTCAGCTACCACTGGAGCGGTTTCTAAGGGATCCACTTCCACTACTGCTGTAACCTTTCCTTTCCGACCAGACTTTTTCTTCTCCTCTGGAGCCTGTTCCGCTTCCACCGGTTCCACTACAGATTTTTGTTTTGCCACTTTGGCACCCTTCGGTGCGGGCTTTTTCTTGGCATCACCATTTTTAACCGTCTCTGGTTCGACGTAGTCTACTTCCGCTTCAACGACTTTCTTAGCCGTGCGTCCTGCTCGTTTACCTTTTGCCTCCATTTTTATCTTGATTGAATTAAAAAAAAAAAAAATAATTAATAAAAGTTTTGTTAAATATTCTAAAACAAAAAAGAAATCACACGCATCCCCGTTTCCTAAAATCTAGGACTCCGCCACAGGGCAACACGCACACAGAGCGGAACCATTTTTGTTTTCGCTTCCAAAACATCCATTTTTGTCGAAAACTCACCCGAGGATTTTCTGCAGTAGAAAATCACGAAATAACTACGGTTCTGAAGAATTCTACCGCACAAAACAAAATTCTAGCAAACACTCACAATTAAACTGGTGCCAATTCCGGCTCGCAACTTGCAAAACTCAGGAAAAATAGCACGCGCGTTAGGAGTCGACTGATGGAGGTCTGCTGCGGTGATTTTCTGTACGAGTTGATTCTTTTCTATCAGCTTTTTTCTCCAGATGCCGGTTTCGAGAGAAAAAGGCGCGTTCAAAACGAAAAGAAAAGTGGCAGGAATCGAACGTTGACAGGCCTGAACACAGAGTCAAAGTACCCACTGTTGTGGCGACGTGTGGTATCTGCTAGTATGCTAAAACATCATGTCGACGTTCACCATACTTCACACGACATCAACATGATGTTTTGACTTAATGTAGGATACCATACAGCCGCCACAACATTTCGCACCTGGCCTGAGCTGAGGGAGTGCCTCTTTTGTATAACAGTAAGAAAATGAGAGACTGCGTGAGTGGTGAGTGGCTTAAATTACCGCGTAACATTTGAAAAGAGCCTTGAGTTGTATACACCGATCTATACACCGATATCAATACGAAACTAACGATTTTATATTGGCTCACTACTTGACTAGCCAATTGGTCGCAAGCAATTCGACTAACTTACCCCATTTTAGTATAAATTCCAGTACTGCACTGTGTTTGTTTTGATTCACTATGAAAGTTTGTTATCTGTCAGGGGTTAGTGGATTTTCCTATGTTTCGAGGCGTGAATCGATTAGCTTGGGACCGAAGATAGTACCAGTTACCTAGAGCTGAGCCAAAAAGTTGAGCACGTTTCTTCGGGACCTTCTGGTCTTAGAGTTACCTCTATGCTTCTACCAACCGGTGGAAACTAGACATACTCAGATGGAGAGGTAGGCGGAGAAAACAAAATACAATTCGGCAGCAAGGATTTGTACCTAAATTATTTTGCAACCCTTGCCAGAAGCTAGCATTTCATATGACTTTTATTTTTGATTCGATTTACGTGCAAAATAATAATTGATTGCATCGCAAGATTTTGCACATTTCTTGTTACCATTAAAGGCCCAAGCGCAATGACAGCGGAAGCGGAACGGCAACGGCAGCGGAAAAGCCCGATCTGAGTAAGCCTACTTGTCGGATTGAAAACTTGTGGAAACCTGTTGAAACCAAATCGACTTTGGTTAGGCATCTTGCTGTCATTTCAGGCAATCAATCTCTCCGTCTGATTTTTTTTATTTTTTTTTTAATCTTTATTTTAGAGATTTTCCTAATAAATAATAACGATAAACTAACGATAACCCAAATAATAGAACTATTCCGCAAATGGTTTGGATGATACCCGGTACACGTCGTTAAGCAAAATAACCATAACAATTTTATTAGGGTTACCAACAATCAATTCGAAACTAACGATTTTAAATTGGCTCGCTACTTGACTAGCCTATTGGTCCCAAGCAAATCGACTAACGTACCCCATTTTAGAATAAATTCTAGTACTACACTATGTTTGTTTTGATTCGCTATGAAAGTTTGACGGATAAAATGAGGGGTTCGTGGATTTTCCTATGTTTCGAAGGGTGCATCGATTAGCTTGGGACCGAAGATAGTACCAGAGCTGAGCCAAAAAGTTGAGCTCGTTTCTTCGGGACCTACTGGTCTTAGAGTTACCTCTATGGATTTACTCTCTCCGTCTGAGTATTTCTAGTGAAACTAACGATTTTAAATTGGCTCACTACTTGACTAGCCTATTGGTCCCAAGTACATCTATAAGCCTACCCCATTCTACCAACAATCAATACGAAACTAACGATTTAAAATTGGCTCACTACTTGACGTACCCCATTCTAGTCGAAATTCTAGTACTACTCAATGTTTGTTTTGATTCTACCATAGAGGTAACTCTAAGACCACTGGGTCCCGAAGAAAATCATTATTATTTTTGGCTCACTCAGTACCAGAACAACGGTCCCAAGCAGTCCCAAGCTATTTCACTCACCCCTGCATGTTCTGCATGAATCCACACACCCCTGATGTTATCTGTCAAACTTTCATAGCGAATCAAAACAAACATAGTGTAGTAATAGAATTTCAACTAGAATAGGGTACGTTAATCGTTTGCTTGGGACCAATAGGCTACTAAAGTGGTGAGCCAATTTAAAATCGTTAGTTTCGTATTGATTGTTGATTCTACCATAGAGGTAACTCTAAGACTAGTAGGTCCCGAACAAACATAATCAACTTTTTGGCTCAGCTCTGGTACTATCTTCGGTCCCAAGCTAATCGATTCACCCCTCGAAACATAGGAAAATCCACTAACCCCTCATTTTATCTGTCAAACTTTCATAGCAAATCAAAACAAACATAGTGTAGTACTGGAATTTATACTATAATGGGGTACGTTAATCGATTTGCTTGGGACCAATAGGCTAGTCAAGTAGTGAGCCAGTTTAAAATCGTTAGTTTCGTATTGATTGTTGATTCTACTGTGTTACCTGTGAACTATACCCACAAACGAAGTGACAGACGGAGCGGCTCGAAAACTTTGGTGACTAACCTGCTATTTAAATTTTTCAGTGTACCACATGGCAACACCACTACTACTGGATTGTACCACATGGCAACACTACTACTGGATTGTACTAGCATTTTCACCAAATGTATTAGAATGTTTTGGTTCTATCTCATTCACTCTACTCAAAACTGAAATGCATAAAAATATGACAAAATGATACACTCTTTGCACACTGTCCAAGAATCATTGAACACAAAATCAACTTTGTTCAAATCAAAACAAAAAACTAACCCATCTGGTGGATGATGGCACAAACTTTTAAGAAAATTCTATTACAGTGAACCACATTATTTTAATGGATTTCTTCGCCAGTTAGTCGTCTGTCACTTCGTTTGTGCTATACCTGTGTATAGTTCATCTAATTTTACATTGCAAATGCTATGCAAAATTAGACGAGTCATACGTTGTATTCGGGGTACCGTATACAACGTATATTCGTTATACGTCAGGTAACACAGTAGTCGAAATTCTAGTTCAACACTGTGGATCGTGGATTCGTTCGTGCATTTTCCTATGTTTCGAGGGGTGCATCGATTAACTTGGGACCGAAGATAGTACCAGAGCTGAACCAAAAAGTTGAGCACGTTTCTTCGGGACCTACTAGCATAAAGCAGACCCCCTTCACTCTTTGGATTTTTTAGAGACAGATAACAGCGCCAAACGGTTAGTGACGAGACGACGTTGAACTGCAGCGTTGGAAGAAAACACGCACACCAACATCTATACATGTACGAACCCACACAACTGAGCGGACGATACAGCGTAAATCA